CCAGAAATAAAACTAAAATTATATAATAGAAACAAATCAGGAAAATACATAAGCTACATGAAAGATAAAATGGACATATCAGAAAAAAAATTCAGTATATAAAATGACAAAATTGCTTTAACATATATGTTAATGAAACATTTTTAAAAATTGAAACAAGAATCGTACAACACATTTCCAACTGCAAAACATTTAAAATATCAATAAAACCGTACTAGCACAACACAGTATGCATTACCAATTTATTTTATTCTATTATTTATTAAATAACATTTAACACTTGGACAACGATTATAGTGAGATGAGACCAAATTCATACCATATACAAAAAATAAATAAAATAACTAAATAATAATAAAAAAAAAGTATATACAATAAAGTAAAAATAAATAACTCAGTAAAAATAATAGATTTAAATGTTTGTTTTTCCTCTTCACTTCCTTGCCTTTTAAGCTATAAATGGCTTTTTTGAGGGGAGAAGGAGGGAAAATTACGCCACAGTTAAAAGTTCCTCCGGTTTTAAACTCGTAAAATAAAATTTATCACAGGTTGCTCCGGATAATGAATGTTTTTTACACGCATTAGCCCTCTCGGCAACCTCGCCCCCCCCCCTTGTCTCTTCATATCTAAAACATGCCTCTCGAAATAAGCCGGCAAATCCGCGGCAGCCAACCGATACTATTTTGGACGCACGACCCAGATGAAGAACCGCCTGATCACCAGAGGAACAAAGGCACAGCTCTATAAGACTCTGATTAGGCCATGTATTATTCTTACCTATAATTCCCAAACCTGGATACAACCGGAGGCAGATGAGGGTCTCCTAAAAGCTAATTTTTTAAAGAAAAATATTTTAATGTACAAAATATCACATCCACCCATAACGATTGACTATAATCTATTGCCTTAAAAAAACTATGTACGGTACCTCGGACTCTACTTAAACAAAAGACTTACCTGGAACATACATACTAAATTAACACGAGAAGAACTGACTAGATGATATAACCAACTCTCACATCTAATTCATATAACTTACGAAACAAGCAACTGATCTACAACACCATATTGAGACCAATTGGGACATACAGAGCAGAACTTTGGGAGTTCGGCAAAACAAACACACATAAAAACCTAGAAGAAATCTTTGACCAGAACCTCTCCTGAAATAACCATATCTCCCACATTAGTCGAAAATCCATATTTGTCCTTAAACAACTCATAATATTCTGTGATTGTATTCCTCTAAAAACCAGGCAGCTCCTTGTAACCTCCCTTATATTCCTCCACTTGGACTACGACTGCATGGTGTATGGAGGGCTATCTGCCAGGCTAGGAATGAGACTGAAGAAACTCATGAACCTTTTTTTTTCTATTCTTCCCTAACTCGCTTTTTAGGCTATAAGTGATTTTCCCGGCCCGGAGAATGAGGGCGGATAATTTACAATCCTCTCTAGCACCGGGGCGCGAACTCGTATTGTTTTTTTTTAATATCATATTCAGATCGTCTGGTTGCCGGGCAACTCGTGGTGCTGTGCACACGCGTTAGCCAATTCGGACACCAGAAACTCATGAACTGTTTCATAAGATATGTCTTAGGGATCCTCAGGCGTTCGCATTCATCGCATTCATTCTGTTACTCTGTGTCGAAGTAGCTTTATCCTACTTCCCGACGACAATTCCTCCTTGTGCTTTCCTTTTCCAAGTCCTCAGAACCAAAAACCCCCCCATACAGCTTGGAAATCCTTATTCTACGCTCCACTGTTTACTCTCTTAATACCAGTTCTTAACCTATAGATTTACATATCCACTCCCATAAAACTATTTCTTTCAGCAAATCATTCGTCATTCGTCCTACCTCCTTTTGGAACTCTCTTGCTACCTCTGTACGTCAATCCTCGTCAACAAATTCCTTTAAACAACTCCTGTTCCACCACCTACTGCACATTCAAACTTCCGCCAATATGTAAAATTACATGTATCTATATACTGTTTAATTTCAATCGACTGCACAATTTCAATAACAATCTGCAGTTAATTAGTTTGTATTTTTTATTATTTTAAGCCAGACTAAGACCCATAAATTTGTAACTCTGTTATTATTCTTAGGGGACTGTAGTCTCAGAATAAAATAATTTTTCATTTCATTTCAGTTTTCATTCATAAATAAAATACAAACAACACAATAAAAAATTCTACGAAAAATTGTCAATGCACCTTGATACATTTCAAATAACACTATACATAACGACTTAAACATCCCAAATAAGTAATATCCTACATCCACGACAAATACACTTCATTTCATTCTTCAACTCTAAATCACACCAATCCATTAGTCCTTTCTATTTCCTGTTCCCTGTTACCTGATCGGCGCATACTCAAAAGAAATTGGCTAAGGGGTGGTTATCTACTCCTACATTAATAACAAGAAAAACTGATCAAGCAAACGTAGAATGTTATAGAACATTCCCCGAGACGTTAAACGGAATGTAACAATAAAATAAACAATAATGAGGAGGAAGTTATAGACGCCAATTATTACATCAGTAAAATTTTATTGTTAATTTTAAATTTTCTTCGAATACTTTCCATTGAGGATTCTATTTGTGGGATGAGACATTGAATAAATTCATCGTTTTGTTATTAGCTACAATTATCAGCTCATCTACGATGAGATAATTACAGAGCATTATGTAATAACCTATTATATCTTCGTATTTACTGCTTGGGCCTTCTCTTCTAATATAGCTATCTAACGGTTTTCCATTTAACCCGTCAATTTCTTCTTTTACCGCATCACTAAATACTTCATCAATTAAACACCGAAGGCCATTGGGTTTGGTGGTATTAAGTACAAAAGACTGTCTACAATATTTCATTCTCACTTTATTTTTTATTATTTTAATGATTCCTTACTGTTTAAACAGTTATCCGACCGTTTATCTTAGAGAAGGGTTCAGAAACCCTTCAAACAAATGCCTAGATGGTTCCGTATCAATTTTATGAAATTCCATCCACCACTTCAACTTACTCACGCGCAAATGTATTTTTTGAGATATACCAGTATTTCAGAAACAGCTCGTTCGATTTGGCTCAAAGTTGAATAAAAGGAAGATATTGCTGAAAAATATTGTAGTGTCAATTTTATTGTCATAGAAAGGTTAAAAGTTGTCACACTAATTGTAAATGGATACTGTTGAAATATAACAAAAGGAAATTTCATCAAACTGTTCACTAGTTTAATTTTCTAAAAGGTTACATGATAGTTTTTCGGAATAAACGGACGATAGATGCCTAAATATTCAAATATAGTATCAGATCTAGAGTTATTGAACTACAGTAAATATATTTAAGGTTATAAACGTACCTATGAAATATTTTTATATTTCACTTCATCTTTCACACAACTATAATGAAATAGTAATGGTCACTTTTGGAATATCACAAAGGGAAGATTCATGAAATTATTCACTAATTTAATTTTCTAAAATGTTACATGACAATATTTTTTCGTAACTCTTAATAATAGAGAATATCTTAGAAACCAAACAAAATACGAAAAATTAAAATATAAATATAGAGTATAAATTAACACAAGTTTATTTACATACTCCTGAAATAAAAGCAATACGACAATTTCTGCTTTGTTTATTGATCTTTGGAAGATGCAGTTTGATATATGTACAAATGGAATGAAGGATTAACAAAAAAGGAATTATTTGTTCTGTAAGTAAAAATGTTATATGGAAACTGACGAATAACAAATCTTCTGGTTGTATGTTATGGGTGCTGGACAATACGTGGTGGACACAAACGTGAGTAAATTATATTTACAGAGCAAGTTTTATTCTTCACGGTGAGGAGACGAAATGAAATGTGACAACTTTTGAGCTGTCTTTGACAGACAATGCAAATCTCTTTATTCCAGTTTACAAAACTTTGCAATGGAAAATGACAATTTAATAACTAATAGTGGTACAATCCATAATCAACGGATAATAGGACTTACTGGTATTTATGATATGTTAGCTGTAAGCTTTTAGCTTTAGATCGGTTAAAATACAAAAATTTTATAATAGCACAACATGGCTAGAAAATGATTTCTATTCAAAGCTGAGCAGTAAGTGAACGTTGTGTGTTGCGCGCACCAGATTTTTCTAGTAGGAGCAATGGTTAAATACTTTAATAAAAATTTATCTCTTCCTACTCAACAAAAAACGTGACTCCAATTTCTGTTGGAAATTGGGCAATTGCTTATAGAATAGAATAGAATAGAAGAATCAACTTTATTCTGGGACAAAGTCCGTTGAGAATAACAATATTGTACATAAAAATTAACATAACACCTGGCCAAAATGCATACTACAATAAAAAACCACAAAAAAAACAACTAAAAAATAAGTAATAACAGAAGGATTTACATAACTATACTGATATATTAAAGACATAATATGAGCAATAAGGTCCTAATACTGCAAAATAGTTACTAAAAACAATAAACTATGGAATTTTAAGTGAAATTTGAAGTGAACGACAAATTACTTTTGTTGTCATACCATTGTATTAATGAAAAAAAAATAATAAAAGAGTGGATAAATATTTACGTTAAATGATTTCCATATGTACCTTAGTATGTTCAACGAATACAATAATAGTATTGTAAACATTATACAAGTCCTATATAATCTAAATCCTAAGATGTAGATTGATCGGTGGAAATAAAAGAAAATATACATATAGACGAGATTATATACATATATAATATACATGATAAATGGCTACCCAGCGCCTGATTGAATTGTAAGGAGGAATTGGAATAAGAGGGTTTTAAATATGGATAAGGATGTTATATGACATTTTTTGTAGATCTTGATGTATATTATCAGCTTTTTAAATAATCAATCAAAAGTTCAATGAGACCTATATTGGTGTTTATTAATATTGTATTTCGTACTATAATTTTATTTGTTCACTACTTTAATACTTTCCAATCTAAGGTACTATACGTAGCAGGATGTAAAGAGGCTATTATAAAGGATATTACAGCTATGTTTATGTTCTAGTGACAGCTACTCATAGAGCTACTCACTTTTAGCTGTAATGAGAAGGGGTCACCTTTGTGGGCCCAGCGAACCGTAGTCACCATCACGTCTTCCTACCTCTTTGGAGTGCCTCCATGATCTGACCACTTTCACCCTCTCGCTTTGGCTGATCTGGTTAATGACCCAATTCTAAACCATGTTACATAACATTAATAAAATACTCTCTGATAGTGGTATCTGTCTTCCCTCTCAATTCCATAACTCTTAATAGTTTAATATTTAACCTTATATTTCAGTCGTTACTGAGCCTGTTTTATTATCGTTTTATTTATTGGGCCATTTAATATAAAATGTCCCTTTTTAATATTCCAGAAATTCAAATTGAGACTTATCCTTTACACAGTTTATACAGCTGATATCCCAACCCATCCTAACACTGTCATTACCACGTATGCCGATGACACATGTGTCCTATCAGTTAAAAACGACCCAACGATTGCATCCCAAACCCTTCAATCACACATCACAAACCTTGAATAATGGTGTCAAAACTGGAGGATAAAAATAAATTCCAATAAATCCCATCAAATCACCTTTACCCTTCGTCGTAAACCTATGTCCTCTTGTCCTACAGTATCCTTTAATAATACCCCACTTATCCCTGTTGAACAAATTCGATACCTTGTACTCCACTTAGACTAACGTATGACTTGGAATCCTCATACCAGACTGAAACGACAAGAAACAGCTCGACGTTTCCGACTACTCCAGCACTTACTAGACAAACGCTCTAAGCTCCCAATCAATTACAAAAGACTCATATACATGACTACAATAAGACCTATTTGGACTTACGGAGTTGAGCTCTGGGGCTACCCTAAGCCATCGAATTCCTCCTGTATCCAATCCTTACAATCCAAAATCCTTCGTAAAATCCTCACTGCTCTTTACTATGTCACAAACAAAACCATCCATAACGAACTTAATGTTCCTTATGTTTCTGACCTGGCCCAATCCATATACCTATCCTTCCATAACAAACTTCAGAACCATCCAAACTCTCTCGTTTCTAACCTAGCTTCCTCTTCGATCCCTGACAACCCTCAGAGACATCTGAAAAGAAGATGGCCTCGAGATCTCCTTTTGTAAATACATTTTTAGAGTGCTACCTATGGGTAGTTTCTCATCAAGTGAATTCATGTTATTATATTATTTTGTTCACATTTGCTGAATGTATTTTTATTTGTAATACAGTTTTAAATATCATCAATAAATTTAAAAAAAATAAAAAAAATGAGACTAATAGAAGTGTTGTTTACAACGTTCTTGTTTACAGATTGTAACGAGCCGTTATTAATGCTCTCTTTTTTTATAATGTTTACGATCATTCTAATTGATTGATTATTTAGCATGCTATCAAATATTGCTATGAAAACACGTGATATTTGGGTAATTTTATTTTATGCGTTTAAAATTCGGGTGTGTTGTTCATAACAAACGGATTATTAAGAGATTAAAAAAATATTTGCATCCAAAAAAATTACTGGTTTCTGTGTGATGGTTATTGGCAGGATTAATTCATTTTTCATTTTTACTGAGAGGTGAAACCATCACATTTTACTGCAGTGATACTGACATAATGCATCAAAAACTTGTACAAAAACAACCTGCATTGGTTATTCGGAAGGAAACTATACTCTTAAACGACAACGCCAGACCTCATGTTTCAAGATAGACAGTGAAGAAACTAAACGAGCTGTATTACGTCCTTCCAGATCCCAGACTTTCTTCCGATAGATTTTCATCTGTTCAAACATTTGGACATCTTCCGTAAAAGTAAACATTTTTAAAATGATACTTAGGTCAAAAATGCCTTTTCTAACTTCTACACAAAATTCTGATTTTTTTCCGTTCTGGGATTGATAACAGATTAGGGAAAATGTATAGAAAACGAGAGTAAATAATTTGTATAAAAATGTTTTGATTTCATAACGTTGTTTTACTAAATAGTCTTTCCTCTGATAATTGACATTTCGTATGAAACGATCTAATGAAAATAAATGAATAAAACAATTTTTAAAAATATAGAATATCAATTCGAAAAAAATTTATTCACGACATAATAAAAATAAATTATTTAGTTCAATCATAGTAAAATATAAAAATACGATAATATTGTATAGTCAATACTTTGTATACAAGTATTAACCCAAAATAAAATAAAATGCTCTTTTTCAGACGCTGATCATTTACTGAAATATCAGTAGCATTTTATATGCAATAAACATATATAAAAAATCAACGTGTTATAAAGCAACTTTATTGCTTAAAACTATATGTAATCCATAATAACATACTGAATACATTACCAAAGTAACCACATTTGTACTAGGTATCCAGAGTATCAACTTACCTAAAACAAAAAAAAAAAAAGAATTAAATAAATAATTAGTATTATATATTTGATGATATTAGTTATTAACTGACTTTAATAACTACACTATATATAAAACGGTACATCCGTTTTCCGCCTTTTAGGAGCAATGGATTTTGATGAATAAGGTATCAAACGAAAATTACATGGATAACTTATGAATCACTTGAAACCCCGCAACTACAATAAAATTCATTGCAAAATTGGGAGGTTTGAAAAGTCGATGGATTGAGATATGATGTTTGTGCTTTACTTTTATCGACTCGAAAATCAAGCTTCAAGGATCAACATCAGAATACAACGCCCTGCATTTCCAAGCCCTAAGATGTATCGTTTTTTTTTTGTTTTGTTTTTGGATAAATCGTAATTTTTACCGAATACCTGCTGTACAAGTTCTGTGGTTGCCATAAGATACCTACCATGTGTCTGGGTTTTAAAAATTAACCTATGGCTTTTTATGGCAGAGTTTAACGAATTAAAAATATAATGAAAAGATAGATGAAAGAGAATAGGTTCAGAATGTCCAAGCGGAAAACACGTTTCTGCAGAGTATTTATCTCTGACATTAATCCTCCGTCCTCTCCTCTAGTCTGGGAAAAATCCCATACAGCTAAAAAAGCAAGTTAGGAAAAAAAAAACTAAGGTTTGTGCTTTAGACCACACGATAGAAGTGAAAACATCAAGAAGGCGATATTAATAATATGAAATATAAATTATAAATAATAACTCATTATAAAGAGGATGCAATGCTGAATATTTCCTTTGCTTGCTGTAGGCAGGTCCGAATTTTAGTTTCTTAGATATTTTAGTTCATATCTTCAATAAAACTCGATACAATTTCTTCGGTTATTTCATTACACACCTTACTTCGTTACACTACTTCTTTACTCGACCCTATATATTCGGTTTTCTACACTATTTTTTTCCTTTTTCGGCTCTCGTTGCGGCTAAAAAGTCGTTGCGTAAAGATCCAATATTGAATAATAGCTCATGACAAAGAGGATGAAATGCTGAACAATTCCTTTGCTCACAATATGCAGGTCCGATTTTTAGTTTTCGAGATATTTTAATTCATATGCAGAAACCTTCAATTAGTCGACTTCACCCCGAGAGTTACACATCCAAGATTTGACGGCTCAATCTAATTCATTCTTCACAAAAAAATAGTACAAAACGCGCCTAGAGAAGTTTTCACTTAAAAAAGAGAAAAAAAAGATGAATGATAATTGTTCTGTGATCCCTTTGGCACTACGAATAATATAGAAAAAAACGTTTTGATACACTCAATACATTTTTAAAAAAATGTCCAGGTAATACTTCTATACTCTTTGTGAGAAAACATCAAACCTAGGCTCTAATGCACCAAAGGAATATTATACTAATAGTATATAATAATTTTAGCCAAGTTTCGTTAAAATCGTTAAAGCCGTTTTGGCGCTACAGTTTATAGCGACACATTTTATTGCAGCTTTGAACAAAAAAACATTTACATTTTTTTTTTTTTTTGCATATATAAAATTACCGTAAGACAGAAGTACTATGCCAGAAACCTTCCCAGGAGTGTACGGAACAACTTCCCAAAGTTTCATGGCGATCGAATAAATGGTTTAGTAATGCATAAAGGACAAACAGACAGACAGAACGACATACATTCATTTTTATATATATAGATAGATAGAAGATAGAAGATGAGAATACAAAGAGACATGTGTTAATCTGGTTGCTACGGTTAGTGAAATCTATTTCCAATTCAGTGTCTATTGAAATCTTTTTCCCTACTGTTATAATAATAATAGTATAATACCTTGAGAAAGTATAATAATAGATTAGTATAGGTTCAAGGATAACTGTGTCTTATTGCTTTACTAGTAAACTAATGGAACATTTCCCAATGGGACTAGCTATTCGCTTATTAACATGTTCCGCTGATGTTATACATGGTTTAGTTAAAAGAATATCTAATATGAGATTTCTCACTGAGACTACTCACTCGTTTGAAGAAGCTGCGACAGAGGAAATTAATAACACAACATAAATTTACTTCCCATCATTATTCGACGCAACAATCTGCTGAATCACTAAAAGAAGTTAATAAAATGAACGATTGATTGATTACAGCAGTTGGTTATAATGGCCGCTAACAGCTCAATTATCCACTAAGAAAACTGAACAGGATGAATGTAAAATATTTTTTAACTACCATAAAAACTGTTATGCCCTCACAGTTTGATCGTAAAGTCCTAGTAAAACCATAAATAAGTAGCAACGTCATCTATTAATTCCATTAAATCTATCACAAGAAGTTGTCTTCTTCTACCTATCTCTGGTCTCCAAGAATCTTTTTTGGAAGAGATTGGGAGATTCTCTCTATTAGATTAAGGTAACCTCTACAATCTTATATATAACTTTTGATTAAATCGTTCTATTGTATAATACCCCTAACCAATATACAACATGAGACCATGGTTGTCCAGGCGTTTTAAAGCCTATACCATTCTTGAGGCGAGTCGGAATTAATTTTGTAGTGGACATTCCCACTTTGGTTATAATAAGTATGGTTGTACCTGTAGAACAACCACCTCCTGCCATATGCAAGAAATTAG